ATCGATTTTGAAGAACTTTGTCAACATTGATTTGAAACAAAACCCTAAATGCATAAATCGTTTTCTGGACAATTAATTTTTTTTCCCATGAAATTTAAAGTAATAAAATGGCAACAGTGTAATAAAAATGATGTTTGACGGGTTAACCGTCTTTTTATACGTTTTTTACTAAATATTTTTAAATCGGTGTTAATCTAGTAATATATGAACAAATTAGTGACAATCTAAATAAATTTCTCTTTTTTTAATTATCATATCTATAAGTAATAGTACAATACAATCTCTCTTTCTTTTAAACCTAACTATTCTTTGTTTAATTAATTGGTTAGAGAATCATTAGAGATATCAAGTGAAGATTGTGGAAGATGATGTTAACTTCGGATTGGCGCGAAATAAGAAAAAGAGCACAAATTTTGATTGGACAAAACAACCCAAAGCCTATCTACTTCTCCTTCTATTACCAACGAACCTTTCCCCCAAATCTCTGTCGGTTCCTCAGCGTTTTTTTATTATTCTATTTAACCAAATCAAAGAAAAAATCCCAATTTTTTTTTTTTTTTGAGAATTTTGCAACAAAGTTTTTATTTTTCTTCTCAAAGATTTCGATCTCGCAAAGCCAGAACTTTTTTCTCTTAAATCCGATTCAAGGTTTTGATTCTCTGGAGACTGTTAAAACGAGGTTTGTGTAGTTTCTTAATTGTATGCATTTCTGGGTTTTTCCGATTTAGCATTTGTAATGTTACTAGTTCTGTGAATCCACTACCTTAGTGTTACTCAGCTTACATGATTATTTGATTTTGGGTAATCTCTGGATTTGTTTGATTTTGGGGGTAATGAATGCAACAGTTTCTGGGTTACACTCTGTTTGGTTTTGTTTTAGTAGTAACAGATTCCACTAATGGATTATATATACAAATGGTAAACGAAATTTGAATAACAGATTCCACTAGTAGACTTTGCTGTTTCTGGTTTTCTCCCTTGTTGTTTAAAAGAATTATCTTTTGAAAACCCACTTGCAGTAACCAAACAAACAAAAACGGCTAAATCTGGACACAAGTTGGGATTTCAAGACAAAAGTTACTCAATAATCTCTCTATGGACGTTGAGGAGAGGAGGGTTTCATCTGGCTATGCTAAGCCTCCATGGATATTCAAAGGAAGGCAAGCAACCAAAAACAAAAAAAAACACTCTTTTTATTTTGTTGCTTTTTTAAGAATGTCTCAAGTCTTCTGCTTTACTGAATTTTGTTCCTTGTTTTGTTCTCAGTGCATTGTACCAGATTCATCTTGTGAAAGCTGAGACTGCTCGAGCATTCATCCCTAAGGAGTTTCGATTAGTTGAAGCTTTCGGGTGGGTATATAGAAAGCATCTCTCGAGGCTCCTTGTTGATTATAAATTAGTATCTTCTTCAAATTGTTTAACCATGATTGTTTATATGGGATGATCAGATACACTCTTGGCGGGTTTTTCCTCGCTAGCTACGATGATAGCCCCGCTGGTGTCTTTGATGAGGTCTCTTCTTGCTTTTCCTTTTGTCTTTCTAAATTATCATCCACGCGACATTCTTTGATCGATTCTCTTGCTTTTTCCCAGCTTGTCGTAATTGCAGGGATTGTATGGAACCCTCCTACATCATGCGCGTATGTTTATTCTTCCCTTCTTGCACTCATTTCTTTAGGAAAGTAGAAATTGACTCAAGTGACCAAGTTGGCGAATATTCTGTTCATCAGATTCATGCTTATCAAAGTGATATTTTCTCACAAAAGTGGAATAAATATCTTATTCTGTACCTTCAGATGGGCCGCTAGGGTGCTTGTAAACAGCGATGAGGCTTGTGATCACGGGCGGAAGGTAGGTTGGTCGACTTTTTTTCTCAATCGACAGAATGTTGAGAGATTGGTTTCATATGTGAACTCTAATGGTGTTACTGTTAGAGGATAATGACATTTTACTATTACATGGTGGTATTACAGGAAGTAGGTCTCCCAAGCCAAGTTGCAAGATTTTCAAAGGTTAGTGTCACTTTGCTTTTAATAAATTACTGATTAGGCTCTTGAAAATTTGGTGAGTTTCTTTTTCCCTACCTAAAATGAGGAAAAGAAGATTACTATTGAAAAGAAAAGTGTTCTTGTCTGCATAAAGTGGGGACATTGCAAATTATTTACTACAAATGGAATTTTCCTTAACTCTTGGAGAATGGTATGTGTCTTGATCTTCTTTTTAAGTAAAAGTGGTTGGAAACAGAAAATCACTGCAGTACCAAAGCAAAAAAGGGACAGAGCTTTTGGTTTCTTGGACACAGTTGGGTTAGGAACTACTCCATCTCATCCTAAGGATTTGGTGGAGGTTAAGGTTAGTGAAGTTGATGGTGCTGCTTCTGCAGATATCTGCAAGATCCAAATCAGATCAGACGGTAAATTCTTCGCATCTTGGCCTAACTTAAAGCTTCTGTGTAATATATTCTGAGAAAACTCAGCTCGTGTTTTGATATCTGACTATGGTCTTAAACCGAACACCTCAGAATCGGAGACTAAACTCAGAAACTGGATGGGACCAGCAATCAAAATGTCGCTTCCGAGTTTTAGGTAAGAGATGGTTCTTGTGATTGTTTTTATAGAAGACTTGGTCCATATGCTAATCAAGAATGTCAAATATGGCAGTGGCAATACAAAGTACTACACAAACCTGCTCAAGTACTCATGCCACCTCAACTGCAGGTGTTGCTTCTGCTTCTACTTAGGTCATCTCTTGATATTATACCAAACAATGTTTTTTAAAAGGAATTTGTATTGAATCTTGCAGGGTGAGGCCAGTGAGACCTGCGGTTATATCCGGGACTTTGGATGATGAGGCAGAGAATTTTTCAGAACGAGACCATACATCGCAAGACTTGCTTGAAAATGAAAGGCAGTTAAGCATAGCCGTGATGCTATCGAAACCAATCATAGCTCTTCAATTTAAATGCTTAACAATGCAAGTCGAAGCTCCTGCTGTACTTAACCCTTCAATATAAACACAACACTCAAATCTCAAGAACATACTGCTTCCTTCCTACAAGGTTCACATCTTTACAAAAACATATCTTTTCCGCTTTTTGGTTTCGTTTTCGCCGATCAAATAAAGCCAAAATCTGTTATTTTATACTTACATAAGCTCAACAGATCATGGCAAATATCAGAATTCTTCAGGTAGAGGATGACCGTCCAAGAACGCCTTGAACAGCACAAGCGATCTCTCAGGCTGTGAGAACGGGACCTCGTGTGAAGCTCCTCGCACTGTCGCAAAAGACAACACATTTCCATAGACCTGAGTCCACCCGCCGACCTGAAACACCAAACCTGATGTGTTAGCTCTTGTTTTCATCTTTTTTTTTCTTTACCATTAGAGATTGATGTTTTGTTTACCTGTTGTCCTGCAAACCAGACTCGATATGGCACACTTGTTCTCAGTCCCAATCGTTTGGCCAATCTGCTCACTAAAAATCTACTTCCGGTCAACGGGATCACAGAATCTTGATCTCCACTGTTTTAGCAAGAAAAAACATCCATCATTAAATCATCAAGACAAGTAAGAAAGCTCAACAGAGAGACATTGATACATTACCTGTAGACAAGAACTGGAACTCCAGCTTTAACAAGACTCCCTACGATATTAATCGTAGGTTTTTCCACATCAAGCAATTGATAATCAAGCACACTGTTTTCAAAAGAAAACCTTTCTGTTGAATAACTACTAACATCAATTGCAATCAGCTGCAAACTGTTCAGAGAAGAAAGTGATTACTAACTTGCTGCAAACTGTCCATTCGCGTACTCCGATAAGCCGAGCATGGAGAGCTGCCTGCACATCTCTTCGGTTTAGATAGCTCACTGTCTCATCTTCAACACAAACATCCACAGATTCTCCCACTTGCTTTTCATTCCAAAGAACCACCACACTTGTTAAAAACAGTCACAGAGCAGATAAGAAAGCTCTAATATATATATATTTATGTTTGAATGTTTGTTTTGTTGTGTTGTGACTCACATTGGGGCTTACAACTTTGGATTGAGATAGCACAGAGGGAATGCAGACATCGAGAGTGACGTCATATTTATCGACAAATCGACTTGTCTCAGTGCTGACTTGACTCATCACTTTAGAGCACATACTAGACATTGACCCTCTATAGTACTCACTCACATAGCGTGAGTAGTTACAGTAAGATGTGAACATTTTGTAAGTTGAATCAGATATCAAGCCATGAGACCAAAAGTACTCAGCCCGCGAATTGAAATCCGTCGAAAACTCCAAAACCGGATTGCCAATCTGCAAAAAAAAAAAACCGAATTAAATACCGAAAACATATATCCATATTGAAATGAGAGTATGAGACAATGTAATTTGACTTACAGCAATTCCTCTTAGATTGAACAAATGATGCTTCTTGTTGTACTGAATCATAAGCTGAGCTAATTGGGGAACATAATGGCCTACATTGACATCAAAATTTTAGCGACAAAAAACGATATTTATTAGCTTGAAGTGATTGAAAGAATGAGAGGAAGATTACCAGCATAGCTTTCACCAGTGATGAAGAGACTTCGATTGAGATAGTGAGGGAATTTGAGGAACCATCTTTGCAAGAACACAAGATTGTCTTTTGCT